CCCAGCCCTCCCCGGCCGCCCGTTAACCCTTGGGGGCCCGGAGCTCCGGCGGTCGGGAAAGGGGGGCTGCTGGCGTTCCGGGGGGGCGGAGCTGCTGTTTCGTAGCACCTGCACACCCCCCCCGGGACCCCACCAGCCCCAGCAGCAGGGGGAAGAGGCACCAGGACCCCCCAACAAGGTCGTATCCTGATCCGGGACCTCCCGGTTCTGGGCATCCCGGGGAGGGTTGATCCCACTGGGGATCCCTCCTTTGTGATCGAGATCTTCTGGGGGGGCTTCGGGTGCCAGAGCACTGGGTGCTGGGTGCGAGGGGGTCACCCGGCACCCTTGGGTCCCGCGGGCACTCCGGAGCTGAAGGGGTTACAGTGTGGGGTGGGGGTGTCCCCGGGGGTGTCCCCACTGCAGAGCAGAGCGGGCAGGATGGTCCCGGGGCACGCAGGGGATGAGCCCCCCGGCTGGTACATCGAGGACTCAGGCAGTGGGATGATCTACAAGCGGGGACGGCTCCTGGGACAGGTAAATCCCCCCTCCCTGCACCCCTGAACAGCCCCTCACCCCCGCCAGCACCCCCTCCCCGCTGGGCACCCCCGGGGGGGTCCCACACCCGCACCCCCCAGGGCTGCGGGTGGTCCCCGAGGTGTCCTGCTCCGAGGGGGACCCCCCACACCCCCTCTGGGGAAGGGGAAGCTGAGGCAGGGGGGAGACACGGACTGAGCCGCAGCAGGAGGGAGGGCACAGGGGTGGGCACCGCAACACCCGGGACCCCTCCCGCCCCCCCTCCGTGCGCCGGGCTGCCCCTTCCCAGGGGATCATCCTCGCAGGGCACCTTCGGGCGCTGCTACCGGGTGACAGAGGTGACCAGTGGCCGGGTCTATGCACTGAAGGTCGTCCCTCGAGCCCGGCTGGCTGCGGTGGGCACCGGGGACAGGGTGAGTCCGGGGGGGAACAGTCCCCAGGGATGGGAGGGGGGGGACAAAACCCCTGGGGACCCCCCAGCCCTGCCTGTGCCCCGTCCCGTGGGGGTGCCCGGATCCCGAGGGTTCCCCGGGGGCTGCCGGGCTCGTGTCGGTGCAGGTGGAGCGGGAGCAGGAGCTGCACCGTCACCTGAGCCACCGGCACATCGTCCGCCTGCACCGGCACTTCACCCACCGCGGCCACCTCTGCCTGCTGCTGGAGCTCTGCAGCCGCGGGGTGAGCACCTGAACCTGACACTGGGCACCTGAACCCCAAAACTGGGCACCTGCACCCAATACTAGGCACCTGAACCCCAAAACCGGGCACCTGAACCCCAAAACCGGGGACCTGAACCCAAAACTGGGCACCTGTACCCAAAACTGAGCACCTGAACCCAAAACTGGGCACCTGTACCCAAAACCGAGCACCTGAAACCCAAAACCGAGCACCTGCACCCCAAACCAAGCCCCTGCACTCCAAAACCAAGCAATGCACCCAACATCCCCAGGCCGGGGCTTCAGCAGGGCCGAGTGGCCCCTCGCTCTGTCCCCAGTCTCTCCTCACTGTCCCCAGTCCCTCCTCGCTCCATCCCAGTCCCTTTTCCTCCTGTCCCAGTGCCTCCCCTCTCTGTCCCCAGTCCCTGGCCGACATCCTGCGTGCCCGGGGCCGGCTGGGGGAGCCGGAGGTGCGGTTTTACCTGCGCCAGGTGATCTCGGGGCTGCGCTACCTGCACGGACACGGCCTCGTGCACCGGGACCTCAAGCTGAGTGCGTGGGGGGTGTGTGTGTGTGACCCGGGGGTGGGTTTGGGGTGCCCCACCCCGGCCCCACCCCGCTCATTTCCCCCTCCACAGGCAACTTCTTGGTGACGGAGGAGATGCAGGTGAAGATCGGGGACCTGGGGCTGGCGCGGGGGGCGGCTCCGCCCGGGCGGCGCTGGGGGTGAGCAGGGCCGGGGGGCTGCTGGGAGGGGGGGGAACTCACCCTGCCCGTGTCCCTGTGGTGCTCCTGGACAGGGATTCATCCCGTCTGTGTCCCCCCAGGGCGCTCTGTGGGACCCCCAGTTACCTGGCCCCGGAGGTGCTGGACCGCAGGGGACACGGGGTGCCCTCGGACATTTGGGCCCTGGGATGTGCCCTGTAAGGGGGAACTGCAGGGGGGACGAGGGGGCTGGAGGGAGGATGGAGGGGGCTGGAGGGAGGACAAAGAGAGCGGACAAGGGGAGACGGATGCAGGATGGGGAGGGGGCTGGAGGGAGGACAGGGGGGGCTGGAGGGAGGACAAGGGGAGATGGATGTCGGATGGGGAGGGGGCTGGAAGGAGGACAGGGGATGCTCCTGGCCCCACCTGGAGCAGCTGGACCCCCCCCCCCCAGGTACACGGCCCTGACCGGCCGCCCCCCGTTCGAGGGGTCCCGGCGGCTGGAGCTGTACCAGCACATCCGGGGGGCTCGGTACCCGCTGCCCCCCCAGCTCTCTCCCCGTGCCCGGGCCCTCCTCGCCCTCATGCTGGACCCTGACCCCGCAGCACGGCCCAGCCTGCAGGACGTGCTGGACCACCCGTTCTTCACCCAGGTGTGGGGCTGGTGGGGGGTACGGGGGGGGAACTCACACACGGGGGTGGGTGGTCACTGCCTGTCCCTCCCCAGGGTTTCACACCCCACAGGCTCCCGCCCCGCGCCTGCCACTCTGTGCCCGTGTTCCTGGGACAGGACCCGCTGTGCCGGCTGCTGCGGGGGCTGCAGCGCTGCTGGGGGGGTGGCTGTGCCCCTGGCACCCCGAGGGGGGCCCTGTCCCCCCCCAGAGGAGCAGCTCCCTCGGCAGGACCCGAGCCAGGCAAACATCGGCGGAGGAAAACCTTTATTAGTGCTGGGAACCGTCTAAAATCCAGTCATGGAGACAAGCGGGGCAGGGACGTGACTGGGACGAACGGCACACACACACCAGTCTGCCCTTAAAAACGTCAATGGGAAAAAAAAAAAACGAAATCCAAACCCAAAAGGGAGCTCTCTTCCCTGCCAGCCTGGGATGGGTGGGGGGGGGGGGGGGAGGGGCAGCTCCAAGGAGCCGTGTCCTGGTGCTGCTCCTGGGGGTCACCAGGAGGGGCACCAGGTCACCCTGCTCTGCCTCCAGCCCCACCAGCAGTGGGGACACTGGAGAGGGGACAGAGGGACCTGTGGGCTGGGAAGGAGGGAGGAAAGTGCATGGTTTCCCTGTTCAGCTTCGGTTCTCTCTCTCTTGAGAGAAGAGTCTGGAAATGCTGAAAGCTCAGTAAAACATGACACTAAAATCACCCACGGCGTTGGGGGGGCTGGGACCACCCGCCTATGCCTAAAACACGGGAGGGGACAAGGACAAGATGCTCGATGTGGCCCCAGAAAGCACCAAGGAGCCACTGCCCTGCTCACGGACCCGCCCACGTGTCAGCACCAGAGGGGACCAGTGAGGGGGAAGGGGTGTCACCAGCAGGGTCTGGGGGAGGGAGGTGACAGCAACGACTTTGTCTGCACTTGGGGTGAGCCCTCTGGTGACAAAGGCCAGAGGAGAGGGAACGGGGAACAGCCTGGCTGGGGGGGACACGGGGTGGCGGGTGCGAGTTTGGGCACTTGGCTCTCACCCGTGTCCTCAACCCACGGCAGAGCAGCAGGGGGGGACCCCACAGCTCTCACACCACATGCCCGAGGCGGGGTGGGACACAAACCCCAGCCCCCCTCGGAGCTCCTCGGCCCCTCTCCAGGCTCCTCAGCTCCCGAGGCAGCAGCTGGGAACCTCTCCCAGCCCGCACGTGGTTCCTCCCTGAGCAAACCCCGGCCCGGCCTTTGCCCTCGGGGTCGGGGCTCCACCACCGCGACCCACGGCCCTGCCCTGGCACGGGGCCTCGTGCCACAACACCCCGAGGGGCCTCGGGGACACGGGGACAGCCGGGGGACAGGTGGCACAGCCTGGCTGATCCCGAGGGCCGGGCACAGGCCTGGCTGCTGTCCCTGCCCGTGGCGCCGCTCCCGGCAGCCCCAGGCCTGGCGCAGAGCCCGCCGGGTATTTTTATCCCGGCATCCGTGTTGTTTGAAGCTGTCAGCTTGTTTTTTTGGTAATAAACACGGCCCTCCCCTGCCCCAGCCCGGCCCAGAGCCGACAGCCAACACCCACACCCTCCCCTGCCACAGCCCGAGCCCGGTGCCTGCCCCGGGATGGCCCTGGAATGTCCCTGGAATGGCCCTGGAATAGCCCTGGCAGCCCTGGTACAGCCTGGGGGAAGGTACAGCCCCCCCTGGATACCTGGCAGCACAGGGGGTCCAGCCATGCCCCCCAAACCCTGTTCTGGCAACACCTGCAACACCAGCCACCCCCTCCCAGGCAGGAAGGTCCGAGGGGCTCAGGGCAGGATGATCCAGTAAATTCCATGGGTTTTAAGCTCTGGGATCTCCCCATCTTTACTCCACAGCCAACAGCTGCCCAAAGATGGGGAGAGCGGGGCTCGCTGCCCTTGTTTGGTGCTCAGGACAGTTCCGTCTGTCCTGGGGCACAAACCAGGCCAAGGAGGGGACAACAACAGGGCGGGAATTCTGGTTTCTTAAAAAGACGGGATTTAAAAACAACGACCCAAGCTTTGGGAACTCCTCTCCCCCTCCTCCCCCGGCTCTCGGTGAGTCTGAAACTCACCCTCGTGCAGGACTCAGGTTCCAAGTTCAGCAAATTTGGGTGGGTGACCCAGAGCCCCGTCCCCGGCGGGGGTGACAAGGGCAGGTCACCTCCCTGTCACTGCAGAGCCCGGCCCAGGGCTGAGCCCAGCTCCCAGAGCCCAGGGTGGGCTCAGAGTAGGACCCTGCGGGGGCAGCTCGAGGCAGGGGTGGCCCAGGGGGTGTTTGGTGGCAGGTACCAGGTGAGGGGAGGTGCGTGGGCAGGGGCTGCACTGCACAGGGGCCTCAGCAGCCCGAGGGCAGCGAGCTGCTCTCCACCTTCAGTCCTTTGCTGGCCAGGAAGGCGTCCTGCTTGGGCTCCCGGCCCAGGAAC